CTTCCCAGTTTGTAACAAGCACTTCAAACTCGATCGATTCTTCTAGGTATCCAACCAGAGCAGCACTGGATCCTGATACGGTGCCTTGGTTAACACGTTGACGACATCGCGCGTTTTGGCCAAAACAGCCGCGTGGGACTGGGCTGTTTTGGCCAAAACGCAAGCGCCGCCGCATCACCTGTAACCGTGAATTTCGAGCTGTAAAACTCGTATACGACACAGTGTTTCCATTAATATTCAATGTGATCAGTTTATCGGGAGTTACAGTAATGGAAATTCGATTGAAGTGACGTGTTATGACTATGAGAAGGCTAAGTTTTCGTACTTTCGCTCTAGTTGTTCCGAAATTATTTCGCTGTTTCAATAAGAACGTATACCTTGTCCATGCGAAGGGTTTTGTATTTACTTCTATTATTCTTTTTTATCTACATGTTTACGTTAATGAAAAGAAAACGAGGAATGAACTGAACAGACATTTTCGTAAGGTCTGGAAAACCTCTGCCAAACTAAAGAATATTTGGCCATTCTGTAAGCCACATGGTTTTTTATTATGTTGAGGTATGGCTAGGGAATGATCACAAAAAACTTGGGAAGTAGTCGAACAAAAACAAATGTAATGAGTGTGGCATACGTAGTCGCCACAATGTCCAACGCGGTGCAAAATATCTGTATCCAGTTGCCGCGCTGTCGTCAATGTGTTGAAGGTGACCTGAAGCAAGCGATTTCAATAAATAGGGAGCGCATCGCAGAAGTATATACCATGCAAAGCAATTACTTGGTTGCCTATGCAGGGAGCTGTGGAACTTTCGCGTCGAAAGATACGCTAGTTGCCGAGCAGGGCACCCCACTTTCTTCACGATTTGGGGCGCGGCCGCGGCAAACCCGCGGCGTTCGCGGCCGAGTAGTGCGGCATCAGCTTGCCTGAGTATTCGACGTTACATTACGTGTTAGTTCATCCGATCGTAACGACACGTAATGTAACGTCGAATACTCAGGCAAGCTGATGCCGCACTACTCGGCCGCGAACGCCGCGGGTTTGCCGCGGCCGCGCCCCAAATCGTGAAGAAAGTGGGGGAGCCATTCCCTCCTCCTAGTCCCATCCCCCATCGTTTTTCCTCCCCCAGATCTCCTTTTGTGCGTGAATCCCCTCCACCTCGACCTCACAAGTGGAAGTGCGCACAGCGAAAGAAGGAGAAGGCATTAAGCTTACCCGAGAAAAGGTAAGTCCTACCGGACGCCGGGGCAAAACTGGTTGAAAAGCAGCGTTTAATTTGTTGTAATGCGCTCTCGTTTCGATGTGAAGAACACCTAGTGTACGGAACACTTCAAAACTTTGAAAAAGGGGCCTTCTTTCTGTATTTTTACATCCATATTTGTAATTACCTTTATCATGGTAGCGTCGTATGACTCTCTGATTCTTCGAGTACCGCAGTGCTGCAGAGTAATTTTGTCATGAGTGGTAGTTTCACCGGACTTTGGAATATATGAGCCACACCACTAAAAAAGAAGATTTACCAACATGAATACGAATAAAATGTTTATGGAGCATTGCGTAATGCTCAAAAGCAGGTGTTCCGGACGATAGTAACTTTTGATTTCGTTTCAGCTTACAAATATGGCTTATAGAGAAAATGTGCTAAGTTGGCGCTCATATCCCTAGGGGGGATTCAAAACAGGGCATGCAGAAGCCGCTGGTAGATGACACTAGGATTAAGCCCAGGAGAGGAGAGAAACCCTAGGGATAACAAAAATTGTTTACACCCTCCCCCATAATCCCTTCCCCTCCTTAGGGCCAGTGTACGAGTTTCTGGATCGAGCAATTTGCTAGTGATTCATCGAGCGAATCGCTCGATTCGCGAATTCTGACAGTTATTCTCAAATACTGTAAGTGGCTCACTTGAATTCCCCCCCCCCCCCCCCCTCCATCCCACCTTACGACATATCGACTTTAGTCAACAGCGCTTCGAGTATCATCTGATCTTGATTTGGCGCTCACATATCGTTTGGGGGACATTCAAGTGAGTGAACCACTTCGATAGAGGCATGTCAGCAATTCTTGTTCTTCATGGCGTATTCCCCCCTCTTTTGGGCTAAGTCCTAGGGGCCGTATGCTATCCTTCCCCGAAGCTAGATGATCAAAGTTTCCTTCAAATTTATTTGTTTTGAACGATGTAGTTTCTTCATTTTCAGTGCATGTTTACTTTAACCTACATACATACATTAATGTAGGCCTTTATCAGAGGCAATCCCAGTTGGGAAGATAGAGAAAATTTAAAGGAATTTTCGTCCCCCAACCCTTCGGGGAAGGTAGCATACGGGCCTCTAGTGTCACCTACCGCAGGGACACAAGCACCGTGATTTGATACTTTCTTGGACCAGTTTGGTCCCCCTTCAACCATCGATCCTCCCTTCCCTGTGTGTTCCTCCTCCTCCTCCCCTTATCCTCCCTCCTTCCTCCTCCGCTGCTCTCTAGCTGCCACTGCAGCACTTTGCGTGATTACCAAAAGTGTACTGTAAACTTGTTTATATAGCCGTTGGAGTGGTATCACAATCATGCCATAGTCAGACTCGATAGCGCAAATCCTGCGAGCTACCCAGATCTGTTGGCGGTTTGTTTATTCCTTAGCTGCCTTATCACTCGCCTCATTTTGCGGACGGACAGAAAGACAGACATGGGATCCTAAAAACTGACACACCAAGTCGCGGTCTATAAAATAGAAGGATAACGAAAGAACTCGGCCCGGGAACGTCGACTGTCTGTATCATGGATACTACAATTAAACACTTCTCCTGCCAAATCATGTGCCAAAACTGATCAGTACTCTGTGGAAGAGGAGCCTGCGTGATAATAAACTTCTTGGGCTCTCGATAACCATCTACCCAGTTGGCATGGATGTAGTCGTGATCCTCCAATGGATGCCTGAATTGTAGTATTTGATAGTTAAGGATGAAGGTATGTAGGCCTACAAAGTCCTTTCTACGTTGTTAGCCTTCTTAGGAGAGTTCTTCGCGAACATACTTGACATGAACTCGTGTTTCTTCTATACAAGGGATGTCACTGAATCTATTATGTTGACTGAATTTGTTGTAGGTTGTACTGCACCTATGAGCATCATGCTAAAATTGAGGAATAGTCGAGTTTGAGCGTAGAATTCCGTACTATCTGAGCGGGATTGTTACCTGGAGAACTTGGGTGTATGAAAAGAACATCCGATAGACATTGGACGCACAGAGGTGGTGTATGAACGACGCTAAGGATTGCTTAGATGCTGTCGAGCCTTCAAAATCGAACAGATATTCCCCTGGTTTAAGTTTGAACCTGAAAGCAACTGTGTTCAGGAGAAGTTGACTAGCAGTTTTTGTGTGTGCAGCAATTGTTGGGCAACGGAAAGGGTTAAACCCCAGCCCATAGCAGACCCTGTAAATTGCCCTGGTATGCTATGGGGTACGTATTTCGGGGCAAGTTCTTCAATGTCTTCCATTGACATTAATTTTAAGCTGTACCTTTCTGTGTTGGCGAACTTCCTGGAATCAACAGAAACGTGGCAGGATGTGCATTCTGTAGTGAGTTCAGAGCGTTCTGTTCCAGCTGTCTTGTCGTTAAGTTCACGGAACGATGATTTTGAAGTACTGGTTGTGGTGGTAGACATTCAGCGACTGGGAGGTGTTCAGCAGTGAAGGTAATCAAGTAATCGTCCAAATTATGCAAAAAGATCCAAATTGAGACCTAACTCGCACTGTTGTGGCCTATTTATATGACTGTTGTTTGCACCATGATGATGTTAAGATGGTCATTTTTAGATCGCGAGGGTATTGTGTGGTGTGTAGAAGGATACTGACTGTTCACCCATATCGCACCCTACATGCTCTTTCGCGATCAGACGTTCCAGCACGCTTCCAATTTTATTATTACCAGATTGGTCCCCCGGCAACCACCGGGACCTCCTTACCTGCGTAAGCTTTACTCCTTCCAATGTGCTCCCATCCACTGGTGAC